TTTTAGTAGAGACGGGGTCTCGCTCTTGCTCAGGCTGGTTTCGAACTCCTGAGCTCAAACAATCCACCCGCCTTGGCCTCCCAGAGAGCTAGGATTACAGGCGTGAGCCACCGCGCCCGGCCAAGGCTGCAATATTCTTGAAGTTGTTTTTAGGAGGCATTTAAACAGTAAAATTCTATTATTTCCAAAATCCCATTTGAACTACAAAAATATGTTTTTAAAGGAACACCATTCTAAAGGATAGAAAGCAATTCAAATGTTTCATGTCTGCCTGTACCTGGCTCTGTAGTGACCCCCAAATTGAATGAAAGTTATAAATTTCCTAGGAGAGATAAATTGCAAGAGCCTATCATGTCTCTGGAGAGTTGACCATTTTGAGCTTGGCATCATATATGGGAAACATTACCCAGTTGTGATTTATTTAAAAACAGGGTTTTTTTTTCATTGTTGGGTGAACATCTAAATAGATAGATAAATAACTGGGTTCAACTGTCTGCTCTGTTAGGACTCAGGTAGGTTGAGAGGGAAGATGAAAGAACAAAGGAGAAAATGAAGTGATTTTTATTGAAAAGAGAATAGAGCAATGTTTTGTGAAAGAGTATTGCTTGAGAATACTGTTTATAATTTCACATCCTACTATAACTAACATTTGTAGATATTACCAGTTTGTGTCCTCATGTATATTTTTATAGTTGACATTATAATGTTTATACCAAATATGAATTATATGGGACTCAGAATGCTGTGAAAATTGCTTATTTGGAAGCTCTAAGGAAACCAGACATTAAAAACAAGTACTTTAACCCTACCATCTGTTTCTTATCCTTCTGAAATGTTTTTCTTCTTGTCCCTAAAGAAGCACAGAAACTAAGCAGAATTTGTAACATGATGGGGTGAAATAAGTTAAATTTGTTGGACTGATCTCAGGATGGTGCCTCACCCCCCTTCAAGACCATGTCTCACCTAAGTCATGCTCAGCAGCTATTACGATTTTGTTTTGTATCTTAAGGAATTTTGCAGCTGGAAAGACCTTGGGAGGTAAAGTTATTCAACTTCTTAGTTTTACAGATTAGAAACTTCAAACCCAGATCTTCTGATTCTAGTCCGGTGATCTTTCCGCCACCCCTTGCGGCTGCTGCAGCTCTAAGGTGCAGTTGGATTTCCAAGTCTTCAGCCTTTCTAGCATTGGTGAAGATTTACAAGTGCTTGTCACTTTGACTTTGACTTTTTATGTCTGTGACTTTAGTTTACTTACTAGCATCTGAGGGGGGAGATTCACCCGTCTAACCTAGATAAATTACCAGACTTTCTTTATCAAACTCCTCGTGGCCTGAATTCCACTGTCATCGTTGGTATTAGTTCTGTAGCTGATGCCTTTATAGTAGTAATTTTATGATTTTTCTAGGAACCACAGGTCTATATTTTATAAAGCACCAACTTGATACTGTTTTTATCCATTCTTTCTCTTTTTGCCTTTTCCTTTCTGATCCCTACCTCCTCCCAGATGATGGATACTTCTTGGATTTGGGTATAATGCACATTTTGGGGATGGGCAGTAAGTTTAATAAATCAGGGCCTTTGAAGGTGATTCTTTGACTTATCATTAAAATTTTGTTTTTTTCTTGGTAAAATGGAATGATAGTAGGTACCTCATAGGGTGGTTATAGAATTAAATGAATATATATTTAATATAATTAATAATAGTGACTATTAGTGTCATTTTAACTCTGGACTGTTCTAGGAGACTGCAACATGCTGTGAAATGTTAGATAATATTACTGTTATTTATAATTTTGTTATCTCTTAAACAGCATAACACATTTATAGAAAATTAGAAAATGGAAAAGCATTGATCCCAGCACTTTGACACAGCTGTTAGCTTATTTGGGGTGCATTTCCAATCAGTTCCTTCCCTTTTTTATTCATGTGATTGTTACCATGAATACAAAGAATTTTATCTTCTGCTTTTGATTTTAACTTTACTTTTTTATTCCTTCCTTTCTTTGTAGTTAATGGTATGCATAGCAATGATTTTTAAATAGCCTGACAATAGTCCGTAATTAACTGATTCCTTATTTTTGGACGTTAGATTTCTTATTTTCACTGTTGCAAAGAATGTGCCACTTCTCTTGTTTCTTCTTATGGCAACTGCTATCTTTTGAGACTATTATGAATGGCTATCTTTGACCTCTGATTTCATCTTTCCTTGTTAGTTTTTGTTTTTGAGACAGAGTCTCGTTCTGTCGCCTGGGCTAAAGTGCAGTGGTGTCTTCATAGCTCACTGCAACCTCAAACTCCTGGGCTCAAGCAGTTCTCCTGCCTCAGCCTCCCAAGTAGGTATTTTTTGTAGAGATGGGGTCTAATTTCTTGCTCAGGCTGGTCTTGAACTCCTGGCTTCAAGAGATCCTCCCGCCTGAGCCTCCCAAAGTGCTAGGATTACAGGCATGAGCCACAGAGCCCAGCCTGGTTTCATCTTTGATTGGGACCCAAAGTATAATTGCAAATCCATAAAGGTGTTTTGGGATATCATTATAAAGAAATGAGCCCCCATTTGTCTTGGGGGACAAATGGTATACCAGCTTGTTCTTTAGGTAGCAAAGCATTTTTACAATTAAAACATGAAGGAATATTTGCCAGTCGTGAGCTCCACAGGGGGCAGATGATAGATGTTGTTATTTTGATTTTTCCTTATGGAAAGAAGAAGGATAAATAGCCTGAAAGATAAGGGGCTACATCATCATTATTATTATTTTTTTAATGAATTAGGTTATGTGCACTTCATCTTTTTTTTTTTTTTTTTTTGAGACAGAGTCTCACTCTGTTGCTCTGGCTACTAGAGTGAGTGCCATGGCATCAG